AGGGCGGCCTGGATTGGAAGCCTGGCTTTACCATTCACTTCCTGTTTCAGTTTCGTAAATTACTTAATGTCTTTGCATCTCTGGTTCCTCCTCTGTAAGGCGGCAATGATGATCATACCTACTCGACGTGATTATTTTAGGATTCGTGGCATAACACTCGTGACGTGCTCGATAAATTCTAGCTGTCCTACTGTCATAGTAACATCTGCAATTTGGAGCATCTGCCCTTGTGACTTATTAGTGGTTATAACCAAACAGACCCTCGATCGGACCTACTGTTGCATGAAAATGAAGTAGTTTCGGTGCAACAGTGTGTTTTATCCGATACCATTTCATAAGTATATCCAGAGGCCAAAAAACATTTAAAATCATCACTTTGAAAAATTAATAAACATAAGGAACTTCTCCACGCATGGAATGATGGGAAAAGTTAAAATATGTAAGTTTTTAAACTCACTCAACTCAAGTCAACTGACCATGCTCTTTTACAAATAGGTATCACACAACTGTATATGGGAGAAAAACATTTGACATGGTGTTCCTTCAAATAAGTGTCTTATAGGCCATTTAACTTTTATTTTATGTCAGACCGAAGCAAGTGTGTTCTGAAATAAATAATGGGAACACACAATAGCACCTACCTCGTAGGGCTGTCTTGGGGATATAAATGAGTTCATATTCATGCAATAGAATAGTGCCTGAACATAGTAAGTCCTATGTTTGCTGATAAAGTGAAGTGAAAAAACAAATTGTCACAATGTGGTGAGACTCTTCTTAGTTTCTGCATGATGTAATTGATTATTTGATTCATATGGAGATTATAGGGAGGGATTTATTTTTATTTATATGGAGATTTTTGTCATTTCTGATTTTTATACATTTACAAATAATACTGCAAATGAGCATCTTCAGGCAGGCAATTCTGTGTTTTTCTTCCTTTCAACTATTTCCTTGAGGATAAAATCCAGGTGTGGGTATGCTGGAGTAGTTTCATGAAGAAGCAGTCTAGTTCTGATGAGGACGTTTTGCAGGAAGTGGGCAGGAAGGAACAGAGCTGGGGTTTAGGGCAATGCTGGAGATGGCAAGGTCCAGGGAACTGCTGGGAGGTGAGGGGCTCTCCCACCTGCTGCAGAGCTGCGGGCTGTTTGTAGACAGGCAAAAACAGGGTGGTGTGGGGAAAGGAATAATGGGCTGGAATCTGATGAAATGACTTTTAGATCCATCTACACCTTTTCCTTGAAATGAAGTTGTTTTGTCCCCATATTAAGCCTTTTCCAGTATCAGGGTCTAGGAGTCCTTTATTTCTCAAACATTAATCAAATACCTTATAGATACTAAGATCTGTGTTCAGTATTAGGGATACAACACTGAGTAAAAGAAAATAAATACCTTCAAGTAATTACATAAGACAATTTTAAAGGTAAATTTAAAGCCTAGTGAACTAAAGTGATTGACGGATACAGAAAATTATGGAGGCATGGGGTAGGGGTGGGAGAGCACCCATCCCAGCATTGAGGATAGGCCTTGGTGGAAGGGAAGACACTTGTCCCAGAGGAGGTCATGGTGGAGCTGAGTCTTAAAGGACAGGTAGGAGTTAAGCAGACAATAGGAGAGTGAAGAGCATTCAGGGCAGAGGAGATAGCATGGGCAAAGGCCCAATGGGAACAGAAGGGTGCCTTCAGAGGACCAGCAGTTCCTTGTCCTTGGGGAATCAAAAGCAGGACTGGTGGCCTGAGATGTGGCTATGGAGGTAGCCAAGGTCCTTGGACATCATTTTAAAAAATTTGGGTTTTCTTTGTACTATTTCCTCAAGGATGGCTTTGGATATATGCTAGCCTCCAGTGGCAGCCAAGAATCTGCCTTGATTTCCCTAGTTCACCTTGACAGTTCTTTCCCTGGGAGGCTCACAACACCTTGCTTTTAAGGGTGACCACTAGCTGTCGCTATTGAGCAGATCTAGCTAAAAACCAATGGTTTAGGGCCTAGCCTGGCTGCTAGGACCAGGCGGCCCCACCAGATGCCTGAGTCCCGCCCCGCCTCCAGTAAGGTCTGTTCATCCGCCCTAATTGGTGACTCATGAGAAGGCGCTCAGTGTCGAGCTGGTGGTAGCTCTCGCAGGATGTGGGCGCGACCGGGGGCGGTGGGAAGAAATTGTGGTGAAGTGCCGTACACCATCAACAGTCAGCCACTGGGTGGCGCTGCCCCCCTCGACGGCAAAAACGGAGGCTTGTGAAAAGCAGTCTTTGGTTAGGATGGCCTGGCTCTTTGGTCTTGGGGTGGGGTAGCTTTTTGTGCCCTCCGTTACCCGGAGTTCAGGGTGCCACAGGACTGTTCGAGGACAGTGTGAGGTCCCGAAGCACGCCAACCCAACAGTCCCAGGGCAGCCAATCACAGCACAGAGAGAGACCCTGACACCACTGACCTCAGCTCTCACCCGTGTGGGTCTTTTGAAACCCTCTGGTTCCGGGTCATGCGACATGCCAGTGTGCCCTCCCCTTTGGCTGCTGTTTCTCTATCCTCCTCCCAGAAACTCCAATCTCCAAAGCCTCCGCAACTCAAGCTGGTTGTTTATCTGGAGCTTTCCTATTTTTTTAAGAATTCATTTCCCAGCCCCCACCCCCCCTCCTGTGGCTTTACCTTTTGCTCTAGGTTCCTGTCCTTACCCCATGTGTTCTTGATCTCTGCAGACTTAATTCTGCTTCTCCTGGCTTTTATGCCTGTGGGCATTGGCATCCTCAGTCCTGTTTGACCTTTTTTGAAAATTCTCTTTTCTCATCTGCCTTTTCTTTTCACATTGGCTCAGTTTCCATCCCTGTTCCCCCTCCCTCTCCTTAAAAACTAGAGAATTTAGACACATTCTAAGTCTAACTAGAAAACTTCTAAATCTAACAACTAAGAGAAGTTAGGTTGAGAATTGCTGAGGGGGGAGGATCTAGCATGTACGGGATATCCTGATTTTCCTGAACATTCTCCATGACCTGGTGACCCTCTGGCGTGGGATGGAGATCTAAGAGTGCTGAGATGCTGACAGCGAAGCAGAGTTGCTGGAGACATCGTGAGACAGTATGAGCCCTGTATCAAGGCGGGCAATGTGTTTTTTCTGTTCCCTTAATACTGCAAATTAGTTTGGTTTACATACTTCCCTGGAGAAATTAAGGGATGCGTCTGGGACTTGATTAGCATATGTTCCCTAGTGCTGGAGACTAGGCACTAATGGAGAAGAATGTGGGTCCTTGGCAAATTCCTTGGACAGAGGCAATGCGGGGCGGGGGAGGGGGGAGAATGCTATCCTACATGTGGCGCCCCTAGAGAGGGGAATGGGGGCTCACCCTGAACCCCTGGGTGCCTGCTGACGCTCTCACCAAGGGCTGGCTGGAAGCATCACACGTGCTGACTTCTTCCTCTGACACAGCTTCAGAGCTGTGCTCGGTGCTCGGCGGCATGTCAGAGGAACCACTGGATGTGGGCAGAAGATGTTGCAATTTCTATTTATCTTATCTTCTATTTTTGTCTATGCTTTATGTTAGTAAGTATTATGTGCATATATTATATAAATAGTAACTGTATATCTGTTAGAAATCTATACGCCTAATCATTTTTTTTTTAATAATGAAGTATGTGATCCAAAGTTTTGGCAGCCACTACTCTAGAGAATCTTTGAAGCTTGCCATGGACTCTGGGGGTGGGTTTGTGACACTGTCCTAGCACAGTCCAGCCAAGGCGAAGGGCCCAACCTGTGTGAACAGATGTGGTGGCGAGGTGAGAATTAACTGTCCCTGAGAGGGGCCTCTCCAGGAACAGCAGGTGGGGGGAGTCACTGCCGCTGAGGACACCTCGGGGCTTCCTGCTACCTCTTATCTAGGGTCTCCCATTACACTCTTAACTGAGGAGAGGGAATCATAATTTCTCAGAGGGAAGTTTGGAGAGGCGGGAGCCTTGGATGTTCTTCAGCATGGGCGGGAGCTGGGACTAAATTAGACCTTGCAGATGGTCAGTGGGACTGGATTCTGTCACCTTGGTCAGGAACCTGGCATCTTAGGAACGGTGTCCTTCTGCTCTGACTGTGTATTTCTTTGTTTCTGTCGTGATTTACATTTGTGACAAACACTTCTGGTCGCCTGGGGTTAGCATGGGCTCAGCTGAAATCTCCATTTCTCAACCTCTCTTGAAGGGAGGGGTGGTCACACAACATGACTCTAGCCCTCAGGATGTGAGCTGAAGTCCTTGGATGGGGCTTCCCAGTTTGCTCTTTATCAGGGGGCAGATTCAGCTGGTGTGCATCCTTTGCCCTTCACCTTCCCCTTTGCCTTCCCTGAAACGCAGGACGATGCTGAGCTAGAGCCACAATCTTGTGACTCCACAGTGACACGGAGGAGGATGGGTAGTTGAGTGGAAAAACAGAAGGAGCCTGGCTTCCTGAGGCCCTCCCTGGTCTGCCCCTCCTAGACTTTTTGTTAGGGGAGGAAAAGTAATTTCTACTTGATTGAGCCACCGTCAGTGGGTTTTTCTGTTACTCCCAGGGGAATACAGTGCTAGTGAACATGAAGGTCAATTTCGGGACTCGCACACAGTTAAGGCTGTTGACTTCATGCAAAATACTGATGCCCTGAGAGTTCAAGAATGTGAGCACCCTGTCTTTGGGAGCCCTTGTTCCCCCAACCTCCCCAGTAGAAAGAAGCTGTCTCTTACTTTCAAGTCCTTGGAGGAGGGGAGAGGCATTGAGCTGGGCCTTTAAGAATAACTAATTCTGTCAAGAATGTGGAATGGGAAAGTCAGGGCGGTGTGCTGGAGCAGGCTATACAGGTTTGAGAGAGCTGATGGTGCATTTCTCTTCTATTACACATTCAGCAATGTGACCAGGTGGCCTGAAATCAACCAGGGTGAGAGTATTTACACCATGTAATACTAAATTTACATTTACAAATGGGGGCATGTTTCTTTTTCTCTCTCTCTCTTTTTTCTGGAGAGCCAGTTGTTAAACATTTACCAACACACCCTTGGAAAGACCAAAGGTTTAGTTTATTAGTTACATAAAAATTGTTACATACCCTCTCTTGCTTTCCCCAGTAAGTGAACAGAATCAGGGAGCAGCTGATTTATACTAAACATAGGCTGAAGTCTTAATGTGTCTTTAAGCCTAAAGAAAACCCTAAAAGTTCAGGTTGAAGGCAAAACTAATTTGAAGCTGCCTCTGACTGTAAATTTGTCATCTGATCATGCTCCTCTCTCAGCATTTACCTCCTTTCCTCCTGGTCAGCCTCATGCCCTCATCCTGTTGCAAACCTGGCTTCTTGCCCCATTTGTGATGCATGCACACAGACTAGCACAACAGTTTATCACCTGCACCCAGACACTTCGTGATCTTCTCTGATTTTGCACTGGTGTGCCTGTGTGTTGTGCTGTATGGTCAGAAATCTGACTTCACATCTTGGATCTATTTTCTTGCACACAGGTGCAGTCAGATCTTTCCTGCTCCCTTGCACTGAGCAGGCTGGGAAGAATCTCTTTCTAAGAAAAGCCCAGTCATAGTCACCCTCAGATCTAGCTCCTTGTCTGGGTGGTCAGCAGGCTCAATGGATTCCAGTCTGTTCTGCTGCCTGGTCACTTAGATTAAGTGATGGGAAAAGGAAATTTCCCTTGTGCATCCAAGCCCATGTCTCGTGTCCTAGTATCTCTTACCATGGAAGCCCTGCATTTGGGGATGTTGAGTTCATGCTGGATATATCCCATCTGTCCCTCCAGAACACTCTCCATTCTTTCCTATGCTTCTGTCCATGAGGAAGCTGACGTGTGTGGTTTATATCAGTCTGCTCCCCTGCCCCTCTGGTTAGCTAATATAAAATATTAGCAAGAAGTTGGAGGGAGGGAAGAGAGTGAGGCTGGGGTGTTTATTTCCCCAGATCCCTCCTGCATGGTCCTAGCTGGGCTGGTGGCATCCCATAACTGAATGTCATAGTTCCTGTTCTGTGATGCTCTCCAAACAGTTTCTATCTCTGGATTCTCATAATCGTTCTTTTTATCCCTAAGGTGGGACTAGCCCCAAGATACTTCCTTATCCCTTGTGATTGCCCTATGACCTTGTCCACACTTTTGTAAACAACCCCCTTTTTATTAAAGCCTAACCTGTTGGGGACCTAACCAATACAGGGCTTTGCTGAGTTGTTAATATAGCTGATTTCTGTTTCCTGTTTGGTTGTAGTCAGGTGATGCCTGGCAACTGTTTGATAAATGTTTGTTGAATGAATAAATGATGGAATGTGTAAGTGGCAGGATGGAACTCCATTCCCTTCTCTCCAGGCTTCTAACACACAGTTGAGAGTTCACACGTAAAGTGGAGACACCTGATGCAGTCTGAGGGCGATAAACATGTGTCCATTCTGTGGCTCAAGTTCCCAGGGACTTCCACGTACATGGTGATTTATACCCACCCAGGTATCCTCCTTCCCAGAGGAGCAATATAAAATAATATAAAGAGTATCTGAAATATACAATATGGTATGGACATGATGTCCATTAAATGAAGAGTAGGGTGATTTCTTCAACTCAAGAACAGAGAAAAGGTTCAGACCACAAAATACGAAATGAACACTGAAAATTTTCACTCGTATAGGTTATGGTTTTAAAGGACCATACTGAATGAACTGAACTTAGAGCTACTAACCATGAATTTACAACATTGATATGACCTTTATTATAATTAATATTGTATTACTCATAATATTATATATGAGGTAAATTTGATAGAACTACCTTTTAATTATACCTATGGTTACTATCAATTTCACAACTGCAGGTTGCAGTGGTTCATGACATTCATTATAATTACGTTTCCACTGTGCAAGTGTTAGAGGAACTCCTTCAAATTGTGAGATGTGATGTGTGACTTACAACTCTCTGGGGACACCCATTTGTCTCTCCTTGGAGATGCCTTCAGGGATGGAGCTCAGATAAATATCAGGAAGAACAGTCCCAAAGCTCCCTTACCATGCCCCACCTTAAGGAAGTGCTTAGTTGTTTATAAATTTGTCCAAACTATAACTTCTTAAGGACAAGAATTCCAGGATCTTCCTCCCTGGATTTCCCAGCAGGAGATCTGTCCAGACTGAGTTGCCATAGTACACTTCCTCTTGACGCAGAGCTCCCCCTTTGATGATCTCCAGGGCACATTCTTCCTTCGGAGATGCATCGATGTTGAGTATCCCAGAAACGGCCTTAATGGCTGTGTCTGTAGAGTCATGAGAGAAAAAGAGTGGGGTTATCCAAGACCAGTAGAGTCTACAAGGTGGAAAGTCTGCAGACAGTAACAGCTTAGCTGTTAGGGGCTGTTTTCCAGTGCTTGCTCTACAAGGCCCACGGGCCCTCTCAGAAGACTGGGTACATTTAGGGCTTGCTGTGCAAAGAGAGGCTTAGAGTTAATGTGGGCCCTGTCTTCCTGGATGAAGATTTGGGGCTGGGGGGAGGCAGTTAGAGGTGATTGAGAGATTTAAATCATGCTTCTCTCTTGAGTATTTTGGTGGGGGTGAGGGAGTCATATGGGGGAGCAGAATGAGGATAGAAGTTATATCAAGACCCAGTAGCTAATGGAAAGTGTCAGTGGGCAAAGCCAAATGCTGTATGATAACAATTTACTAATTTGTAAAGGAAGAAATGGACAAGAATCCAGGCCTTTCCTGTCAACACGAACCACTTTGATTTTGGAAGGGAAGTTACTTTATCTCTTCCAAATTTCCATGTCCTTCTGGCACAGCTTCTTTTTCTCTTTCTATCCTTGTTTCACTGTGTGTCTTTCTTTCTCTCTTGTTCTGTAACTACTACTCAATTTACTCAATTACTCTCTCAATAAAGTTTTCTTCTTGTACCTATTCTGGATAAACTTGCATTTGGACTTACAGAAAAGTCGTAAAACTTGTGCAGAATATTCCCTTGTAGCCTTCACCCTGCTTCCCCTAATTATAACGTCACATATAACCACTGTACAATTGTCAAGGTACACTATAATTAGGGCAATTTTACTAACTAAAACACAGACCTTATTTTTTTCACTAACATCCTTTTTATGTTCCAGGATCTTAGCCAGGATTATACTTAGCAGTCATTTCTTCTTATTTTCTCTCCAATCTGTGACAGTTCTTCGTTCTTTCCTTGTCCCTCATGGCCTTAACACTTTTGAAGAGTATTGATCAACTGTTTTGTAGAATGTCAGTTTGGGTTTGTCCATTTTTCTCTCTTTTTAAAAAAAAAAAAAAGATTTTATTTTTAAGTAATGTCTGCACCCAATGTGGGACTCAAACTTACAACCCCAAGATCAAAAGTCTTCATGTTCTACTGACTGAGCCAGCCAGGTGCCCCCGTCCATTTTTTTTCTGATGGTTGGAGTGAGGTCTTGCATTTTTGGCAAGAATATCACAAAAATTATGTTGTGTCCTCAGTGCATCATATCAAAGAGTTTATGAGGGGCACCTGACTGGCTCAGTCAATAGAGCATGCAACTCTTTTTTTTTTAAAGATTTTATTTATTTATTTGACAGAGAGAGAGACAGCTAGAGAGGGAACACAAGCAGGGGGAGTGGGAG